GTCAAGACCCCGTTACTGACGTAAATATATCAAATCGCTTTTAAATTATCCATGAAAATTCTATTTTTTGTCAATCGTATTTACAAATTGGGATTTCGATGTAGATAAATTACAAACGAATGTAATTATAATAATGTGTTCTTCCAGACTATGTTGTACATGTGTGCCAACATCTATCCATCTAAATATTCGCAGTTATATAATATAAGTAAGATGTACGTTTTGTGTTCTATATGTTTCAAGTAACGATAATGCGGTTCAATAGACATTTTAGAAATGGGTAGGAAATTAACGTCCTCCACTGTAAGTTGACCGTTTAAAGCTATTAGCATCGCACTGAATACGTCAAGTAATCGACATATGATAATGAACAGATCCAACAAAGGTTTAACGTTTTTCAGTTCAGTTTTTGAGACATACGAATTTATTGTTAGCAAGAAAATCCGAAAATGTGACAGTGTATTGACCCAACACTAGCCTTCCTAAATTGTCGACGTCTGTGTCCCCTCACTATTCACTCTGACAGTGGACTTTGTAATGAAAGCACGTCATTCGCGCCATAGGATTCTAACTAATACTGTCTGAAAGTATGAATGTGTATACATTGATGTAAGAAGTTCTTGTTTTGTTGTTTTATTATGACATTAATGTCTGTTTAGGTTAAATTTATTTTCCCAGTATTTATAAACGAATAACCCACATGTTTACGACTAGCATCTGTGTGACAAACATATGTTATAAAGAGAATTAATTGTATTTTGCGCGTGACACGACCTTGTAACCTAAAGATTGAAATGTTTTTTTTTTCTAAATTTTTTTTAACGATAACTTTTTTAAATGCCCATTAATCTTTTGACAAGTAGCGTTTAATTATTATGTGACATATTTAAATTGTACTGTTAGGAAGAAAATCCGAAAATGTGGCAGTGTATTGACCATTTCGTGCGAAGTTGTTAAAGCGGGCTCTACCAATGTTAGTGTCATCTAGGATCTGTTAAACTATTAATTTAAGATAATACTGTTTTATAATGTTGCATGTCTGTATTATAAATGCAGTTGTCCTGGTGATCTGGTAACTGTGATGATAATATTTATCATAGTTTTTCCATTTACGTAAAATTTGTAAGCTTATAAAATAACTAACATGGTTTAATCAATGTTCTGTTGATGGATCGTATCTTCTAATTTTTCTAGGTATTTTATAAACTGACCGTAATTTACATGAACGTATGTCGCATTAATCTTACCGTTAGTTTCTTAGACTAAGTCATTTGACAAAACAGAGATAACGATATGTTTTAAACGAGAATTTCGGTCATAGAAACACACGTTTAGAGAGGTAAGTCGTTCAAGGCCTTATTTCTTTGTAATACATGGCTTTTAGCGACAAAAAAATAATAAAAAACAAATAAGTCCTAATTACTGTACCCGAAAAAAACATATTAAATGTGTCCAAGGAGTGCCCACTCGAACAATATGGTTCAACGTCTTAGTCATACTAGTATGGGCATTCATAAAATCCAACTCCTGACAGGCATAACAGTCTCCATTGTAGTCACTTCTGACTATGAATCTATAAATAAGCCACTTATTACACGAGTGTTATTGTTAAAATTGATTATTACGCCATGTCTAAGTGCTTCATATCTCTATAAAAGTAGAAGGTAGTTTATAATATCAATACGCAAACCAGACAATGTTATATGAACGGATAATTCATAATATTATACTAGATATGTGACGCATTTTGATAGACTTATTCATTGATAAATAATGATAATTGTGTTCTGCAGTCCTGTGACGCTTGAATAGAACTATACCCATCAGTTCCACATCAATAAAAAAAAGAAACTGATGGATCTAATTTGAATGTAATCTATGCCTGTCTAGATTACTTTGAGTGATTTAACCAAAATGATTCAAGTACTAAACTTTTAATTGATTCATTTTTCCTGTTAATATATAAACAGCTGTCAGGTTGGACCAGTGGTTCCCAAACTTATTTTGTCTAATGCCCACTTTGAGAATAAATATTTTTTTAGCGACCCCATAATTCATATATTTAAAAACCAATATAACTTCAAATTAAATTAATTAATTATTGTGACGACAACGAATAATGAATTATTTGGAACGAAAGGAATTTATCTCAATTTTCATGTGATAACAATGGTAGTTTGTTTTTAAATCTTGCTACTTTGTCGGACGTTGCTTCATGACAACTCATAGGATAGTATGCAAAAAATTTGCGCGTCTTTACAAAAACTACTCTTATAAAAAGTAGTGAGCGCTATTTTATAGTGCCACAATGGAAGCGGATGCTTTTTTGCGACCAATTGTCCGTGAGGCGACATCTATTGAAATTAATTGGAAGCAGAAATGAGCTTGGTGAATACGCTAAGGAATTAAATTGAATTAAAAAAATCAATTAAAAAGTATAATATATAAAACTTATTTCTAAAATTATTTCATAATTAATTATAATATTAAGTATAAGTTACTTTTTTGTACCATTTAAAAAACCAGATAAAAAATATCCGTACTTTAAAATTTGTTTAATTTTTCTCAATTTTTGTTAACTAAAATTAATACAAATTACTAGTGTTTAATTTACTTTCATAGTTGAATTGGATTTATTTAATTTAAATGAAATATGCAAAATAAAAAAAATGAATAATCTTTATTTCTTCATATATTATATATGTATTTATCGCATTACATCTTACTTATATTTTAAATGCGAATGTTTCGCCGGATGTTTGTGAGAAGGTATCTCTTAATTTGGCATGAATGTAGAACATAGTCTGGAAGAATATATAGCCTATTAAATGTTCTTAATTCTACGCGGACGGAGTTGCGGGCGACAGCTAGTTAACATACGCAGTACATTACATTGTGATTCGTCATCCATTACAAGGATAAGGTACTATTTAAACTAAGCGTAAACTAAGGTATTATGTGTCCATCTTTAATGGATTTGTTAAACAGAATTACGTAATTAGTATAATTGTTCAGCAAGATTGATAGATTGATTTAAATGTCTTGTTAGCAAACAAGGAAACATGTTTTGGTGAATCGAAGAACTTGACTTTTTAGGTACAATTCACTTATGATAAATCTGGTTGATACAAAGTGTTCAATACTAGAAATAGGGGTAGCCATTCGTGAACCGTGACGACCTTATTTCAATGGAACAGAGGTCATTGACTTAAATTCGTATTTAAAGGTCAAATAGCAACAGCGATTCGAGTGCTTTGTTCAATTTATAATAAAATTATGTTCTTATAAAAAAAAGTACGCTTAACATTCTAATCCTACTAATATTATAAATGCGTTTGTTTGAATGTACCTCCTGATCGGCTAAACGGATTTTAATGAAATTTGGCATTGAAGTAGAACATAGTCAGGAAGAACACATAAGCTACTAATTATGTTTTTTAATCCGCGTGGACAGAGTCGCGGGCGACACCTAGTATTAATATAAAATTAAAACCTAAGAATGCAATTATGCGTATATCACCAGAAGAAAATACTTTTTATGAACTTAATAAAAAATAGTGTGTTTACATTTTGTTTGATTTTTTTTCTTTTATAAAGGAAATAAATAAGATTACTCATTAAAGAACTCAATAGTCCATTCAGAATGATAACAATATCATTGAATGTCAGAAAGAAACAATTAAAAAGTCCAAACCATAGAGTTAGTGCGTAAAGTGAGAAAAAACTGCCATCTGTTGTCAGATGTAATATTTAACTCTGTTTGAAAATGTCCCTTAGATTATTATTTTATCCAACAGATGGCTCTGTTCACAATAAACAAATTGTGGCGTAATTAATCAGAGATTGTACATGTAACTATCATTCATTATTTTTAACGAAAAAGAAACGAAGAAGTATATAAAACAATCTATCCCTCGAATAGTCGAGAAATACAACAACGTATTCTTGTTTCATTTGATGTTTGGCTCTTTGTGGGTAGAAGCACTTAAAATGAAAAAAAGATGGCGCTAACATCAATAAATAATTACACAGATAATTTATGTTTTATCAACAAGGAACAAATTGCATCATAATATAATTATCAAAGTGATGTAGAGATAAATTAATAAAACGACTAGTTACTTGTTTTTTAATGTAATGGTTTGTAAGAAAAAAATGTTAGGTATAGAGACATTCTAGAAATTGAATAATGATCTGGGGTTCCCCGAGTTTCGTTGTGTTGCCACTAGTAATGTTGTTAGCACAAATGTGGGTAAATTTAGGTTAACAAGAGGCTTTTAATAAATGTTGATTTTTAAAAGCTTACATAAGGTTCCTGTTCCGAGAGGTATTTATTTTGTAAATAAAAACTGATTAATGTTGTTTTAAAATTAGATGCAGAAATAAATTGTGATAGTTTTATTGAAATTCAATGAGATAATTTGAAAAATTTAAAAACCAATATTTACAGTAACTAACCAAAGATTGTTTAACTAGGACTGTTTACTAAGACGTCAATCAACTTTTATTAGTCGCAAGAATTACTTAACTATACTATGACATTAAAAAAATTGTCTGTTGGATACAAATAAATGCCCTTTAGTTGGAACTTAATGTAGTATACCAATTTTTTATCTTTGCGGTTTCTTATTAAATCTAGCTGTCGCCCGCGACTCCGTCCGCGTGGAATTAAAAAAAAAACTATCGGTCACATCGTAATGTTATGTAACCAACAGCCTTCCTCTATAAATCGACTATCCAACAAAAAAAGAATTTTTCAAATCGAACCAGTAATCCCTGAGATTAGCCCGTTTAAACAAATAAACTCTGCTTTATAGTATTAGTATAAATTTAAATTAAAATACGATATTATTATAAAGATAATTAAATAATATCATAACAAATGTAATAAATCTCAATTCTATTTTTGGGAAAATATGAAATGTGCAAATGGCGACACTTCTTGCATATCGATCGACACGTAGGCTATAAATAGAAGTCTGAACTTTGCTTCTCAGTCACAACCATTCTTAATTTTATATAGTCAAGTTCGAGGACGTTAACGCGGCATCTCCACAAGGTTAGTAATTTTCTTTTCTTGTTCATGGTTATTAGTAAAAATTTATGACGTCTGTCGTAATAAGAGTGAGTAAATATTTGAAATGGTACATTGTCAGTGTCTTTTACAATCATATCGCCATTTTTTTTTGTACTGGTATCGAATAATTATTGCTATATTTGCAAATATAAATTGTTACAATATTATTGTGTTTTATATTTTTTATTTGTGAAATTTAATTTCATCTCTTTCGTCTACATATAATATCAAATTTGCGTTTGCGGTTTTTCCGCCATTTTGTTCTACTAGGCGTATTGCAAATGGCGCATCCTTATACTTCATACAAGTTAATCTTAAGAGGAGGCGTTCTTACTCCGTAATCTCAGTTTAAAACATATTGATATCTCTGTGTTATTAAATATATAGACAGGGATAACAATTCGTTTAATACAGAGATTTGATTTTGATTGATTTAAGATGGTGTTAGAAACCCACAATTAGTCATCATAACATTATATCTTTTCAGTACCATTACCTTTTTTGCTTTATTTAGTTCAAATGTTAACTAAGTAAAAAATATTTAATAGTATTCTAGTATTTAAAAAATTTCTTCTCAGATATGTACGGATAAATGTACAATTGTAAATTGAATATCGAAAAACACATTACTACATTGCGGGATTCGGACTCGGGACTTGCAGATTGCAAGTCAAATACTTAACTCCTGAGCTTCTGACGTTCATCAAGTACCGTAGGGAAAATGATAGGATTATGATGATTATAAGTCCAAGAAAATTTGCAATATTAAATTTGTCATTGTTGGTGTTTCAGATCGCAATGGGGCTTTTGTGTGCAATCGCTGTTAATGCTATTGGAGGTGCCGTTATCTACGCTACAGGCGGGCTAGGTGCTGCCTGGGTGGCGCCTATGCTGGGCTTCAGCAGCGGAGGTATAGTTGCCGGCAGCACAGCCGCTGCCGCGCAGGCCTACTACGGAAATGTGGCGGCTGGGAGCATCGTCTCTCAGATGACGGCCATAGCTATGGCATCTCCTACACCTTAAAAACCCAGGTGAATTTCTACACTTATGTATAAACTATATTTGTTAAATAATTAATGAAAAATCCGGACTGGCAACAAAATCTCTGTAATAAAAAATGTAGTCAATGCCTATCATTATCTTTGATAACAGAGTGATATATGTCTCAAACGGAGATTTAGGACTCAAAAACCCACGGAATTGATTGACAACCTTCATGTTAAAATCAGTTCAGGATATCGGTAGTTACAATGAAATTTACATAAAACCATATATGCAAGAAATTACCCTTTTAGTTGAGTAAAACAAAAATATTAAACTGATATAACAAAACGGCTAAACACTCACGTATATTCCTCCGGTGGAGGCAACGACTAGTTTCGAGGCCATCAGGGGCCCTTCATCAGGATGAGTGGTACTGGTATTATTTCGCGGACGCGGCCCTCAGCTCACTGATATCAGTTTAGTATCTCACGAAAGTTTGAATAAAAAAAAATATTTCGTGTAATGTGTTTAATTTTTTTTTTCAGATTGGTTGCCAGTTTCTTAAGGAAATTCAAATAAATGGGTGTGTAATCATTGATGTTTTAATTTACTTTTCCCTTGTACTGACGTAATGTAAGCAAAATTATTAAATTTAATTGAGACTTAATCCTAATATTAAATATTATTTTTTCAATTAGATTATTTGGAAACAATCTTAGAGTTTTTTCTATGTGATAAATGTACGCGTGAAACTTTAGTTTCTGTTAGTTTTCACGCTTACTAAATTGGTCATATCTGGTGGTTGGTAAAATCTCAATGGGCCGGTTTTTTAACATCGTATGTTACTCTACTTTGACGACTCTAAAGCGACAAACGCTGTAAAAACACTCTTGTTGCATTCATCCAGGGCTTAAAATGCAACACTGCGCGATATTAAGCGTCGCGTTTAAGAAGCGTTGCATTTTAACGCGCGATAAAAGCCTGTGTGAATGAAGACTAACCGTCTAAATTTAATGGTATGAGTTCTAGGTATAACAGAATAAGGAAAAACAAGATATTTTAAATGATGCAGACGTTAAACAGTTCATTTAGGTGAAGGCCGGCAGACTGGGGCTTTTATTTTTGGTTTTGAAATGGCTTATTATTATTTGGAACATTTAGCAATTATAACAGGTATGTTACTAAAACAGCGTTGGGTAACATAAAACTATAAGGAGACTTTCCTGAAAAGTTATTACCGGAAAATTGAGGTTAAAGGGTGTTGTAAAATGAAAATGTTCGCTGCCGAAAGTTGTGCGAAACATCTCATCCCGCTCATTTCAATTGAATAAATAGAGATAACAATAAAACGTAGTAAATAAATTCATGAAACATTTTCGGCAGTGTCACGGTCACATAGTTTCATGTATTGCCAAGTTTGCTCAGCAATAATTGTCAGATGACATAAAATCGACGTCCTTTATTCCATGTTTTATTGAGGTTATATGAAGACCGAATTAGATGCGTTATAAAGATCAACAGGTTAAGATCATGTTTTCATTTTGCTTTTTCTTTGATTTAAATAGTAACAACAATATTAAGAACTAGCTGTCGCCCGTGACTCCGACCGTAAGAAATTAATATATTTAAAAAGTAGCCTATGTGTGCTTCCAGGCTAGTCTATGTATATGCTAAATTTTAGCGAGATCCGTTATCCATCCATCCATATATCCGAGATTCACAATTTTCGTTCCCATACTCCTCCGAAACGGCTTGACCGATTCTCATGAAATTTTGTGAGCATATTGAGTAGGTCTGAGAATCGTCCAACATCTATTTTTAATCCCGCGCGGACGGAGTCGCGGGCGACAGCTAGTATTGTTATAATTTACTATTCCTTTTAATTAAGTTTAGAAGTATAAACCTGTATAATTAGTTTCACAAATAATTTATTAATCTTGCTATCTTACTAATGGATCTTAAGATGGATGGATAGATGTTTGTTAGAAGGTATCTCCAGAGTGGTTGTATAGATATCGCTGAAATTTGGTATGCATGTAAAGCATAGTTCAGAAGAACACAGGCTAATAAGAATCTTTTTATTCCGTGCTGACAGAGTCGCGGGCGACAACTAGTTAAGTATAATGCTAATTCTTAGATATAGTGATGTTTTTATGCTTATTTTGAAAGATAAAGACATTTCTGCCAATTTTTCCTTATGAATGTAACAAACTATTTAGGGAGCAACGCAGACGTATCAAAATTAATGCAATTTTCCTTGTAATTATTAAGTGCATGTAATGTTTAGTAATGTATTACTGTTACATTTAATTTTACTTTATATAGTAGTCGTCCTCGCAGTAGCGTCGGCATAGATTTAGGCTGTCGTCATATACCTACGCTACACGACCATACATACTAATAGAATCATTAAGTATGTAAGAAATAAGTTGTAGAAAGTTAAATAGGGTCAATTTATTATGATTATTAGCAGTTGCCCGTGACTCCGCCCAGAATTTCATCGAGATCCATTCAACCGTTCTGGAGATATCATAAAACAAACATCCATCAATCCATCGTAAAGATTCGCATTTATAATATAAGTCAGATTATAAAGTCGGTAGAACAAAACAACGTTGATAAGACGATATAATATAAGAGGTGGAAAGAGATTGGATTAAACAGGGAAAAGGCAGGGACAGGTGGAATAGGTTGGAAGAGACCTATACTCAGAAAAGGGTATTTATTGAGAAAAAAGGTTAAATAAATAAAATATTATTACTCCATGTTTCAACGAAGGGAAGCAAGCATTCTATTTCATAATGTTTGCCACACACGTTAGGTTTTACATACAGCTTTTGAGATTACATGCCTAACGTTAAAGCAAACTCTAGCGTGTGTGACATTATGAAGTATGTTTGCTCTGATACTCGGTTGCGCGTCTTGAAGACGTTAACGTAACGATATTCAAATATAATATTTAGTATTATTTTTAAATGTCTATGTACTTCTAAACAGAACGTGTGTTACTTACGATATTTTAAACGTTATAGCGTGTATTTTAGTAGTATTGAAATTTATTTTTATAATATTAATCAAAATATCGATGTCCTTCAAAACAGAATTCGCATATTATTGATAGTAACTCCCACAACTTCCGTATGGCATCCTTATTTATTTTATATATTATTTGTATTTTTTTGGCAAATACAGTTTTAAAAAGTTTGTGCTCGAGAGAAAAATATATCGAAATAGAATTTTTTCATTTTATGTGTAGGCGTTGTTTTATACGATTGCTTTTATCTTGAAACTAGATGTCGCCCGCGACTCCGTCCACCCGGAATAAAAAAAACTATTGGTCGCAGCGTAATGTTATATAGCCCTAAGGTTTCCTCTATAAATGGACTTATCAACAAAAAAAAATCTAATCGGACCAATAGTTCCTGAGATTCGCGCGTTTAAACAAACAAACAAACAAACTCTTCCGCTTTATAATATTAGTATAGACGAAACTCTTTTATATTTCTTACGCTAATTTGACTAAGTAAGGCAGAACCTTAGCGTAAATCTCACACAGTAAATCTACACGTAGGATCTCCCATAGCGACCAATAACCGTCTCTGTTTTTGGTAGCAAATGTTTTTAGTGATGGTCTTACTAATATTATAAATGCGAGTGTTTAGATGGATTGATGGATATTTGTTTGAAGGCATCTGAACGGATCCCAGTGACATTTGGCATAATATAGAACATAGTCGGGATGGCTATTAATTTTTTTTAATTCCACGAGGAAGGAGTCGCGGGACTATGGTTCTTAGAATGTCAAGTACTCATTTTGTTATACGGCATATAAGACACCGGGAAGTCAGATATAGTACGTTCCACTGCCGATAGCTTATGACTCATGAATATACATGTAACTATATGGTTATCTGACAGATTGATTGGTAATAAATTATTGAAAAATATTCAATAATATAACTACACTAATTAAAATACAAGTAAATGAATTATTTATTTGTTATAATTGTTCGATACCACGGGAAGAATACAGTTACCGCATGATAAATTAAATAAGCAAATTACGGATTGAGTTAAGGTTTTGTACGATTTTCATTTAGACATCCGGGTTCGTACGTACAATGCTTAGAGCGAGACAAACGTATATTCCTATATGTTTGTCTCGCTCTGAACTGCAGAGCGTTGTTCGTACGATACCGGATTTAGTCTAAACGAAACTTCAGAGTTCACTTCAGAAAACTGATCAAGATAATAATATTGGAATTATGAACACTATTTTGTTTTTGTACAATTTGTGGTTCGACAATGAAATTTTACAGAACCAATCATTTATTAGGTCGGGTTATTTTCGTCGCACAGTAGAGTACTGGCCTCTTTATGAAAAAATATTTATTATGTATTCACGGATCGTGGCCTACACGTGTATTTGGTACACTTTCTCATATGTCCAATTATCCAAAATATATTGAAATAATAACACTTAAAATTGCCGCTTTTACTGTACAGTTTGCAGTTTTGCTTATACACATTGCACAGTTCGACTGTTTAGTTAAATCTGTGCAGTCATAACTGAAGGTGTGCAACAAGCTTTACGGATATAATAATATTAGCAATTATATCACTGGTATTTACCGCTAACTAGTCACGTATTCTATCTCATGCAGAGAACTTTGAATGAATTGCTTGCGGCATTAGATTATTTTTAAGTTCGTTCGTCGAACTCGGAACTGGCTTTTCCAATTATTCTGATCGCATTATAATACTAGCTATTGCCCTCGACTCCGTCTGCGCAGAATAAAAAACAAACACAATTAGTAATCTATTTTCTTCTATGTGTTCTATATGTATTCCAAACTTCATCGAGATCGTTTAAGCCGTTTTGGAGATACTTTCAAACAAACATCTATCCATCCATCTATCTATCAATCTATCAATATAAACATTCGCATTTATATTATTAAGAAGAAGTAAGATATAGTTTTCCATCGATTCTCCTTATATTGAGTCATAGAATAGTAAGGCATATAAATACTAGCTATCGCCCGCGATACCATCCGCACAGAATTAAAAAAAAATTAAAGTGCCTATGTGTTCTTCCCAACTATGTTCTACATTTATGGAAAATTTCAGCGAGAATCATGCAGTCGTTAAGGATATACTTTCTGACAAACATCCATTCACCTAAACTTTCGCATTTATAATATTAGTAATATGTTCAAACTTAAGGGTGCTAGGTTACGTATTAATTTAAGTTTTATTAAATAAAATGTCATATGAACATCTTTATTAGGTAATTTTACGCTTCAAGAAAAGACTTCGCGTGGAACTGTGGTCTTCATTAGTCTACTTATTGCTTATTGAAACATCATCATAGAATTTCTTGTTACCAAATCAATTTCCTTTTAGAAGACTACTGTTTTAAATTAAAATGAGTGTTTGTTTCTATAAATATATTTATGTTGAAAAGTAAACAAGATAAGGAATTTAATTCAAATTTCATTCATCGTTATTTTTTTTGTTTTCCATACGTTTTAGTATTGTAAATATGAAATTAATTGCTAATAACTATTTAATCGCTTACTCGTACAAAATTTAAAGTTTTAAAAGCTTGTACACTTTGTACTATTCAATTTAGT